ACAAAAAATATAAAAAAAACGTTATTTTTGTACATGTACTGTGTAAACATCAATATGCATTTAGTTAAAAGCGATTATGTTAATATTACAAACAGACGTTCAAATTTTATGTATCTGTATTGAGTATGTAAAGATGTATAGGTATAGAGAATATATATGAATTACAATGTACTGTTAAGAGAAACGTCAGCGAGTGACAAACACGAATAGAATTTTGAAGAAGTCCCACCTCATAGTGATAGTTCAGTCATGTTGGAGTTAGTCTTCGGAAGCGGCACACTGACTGGAAACCGAAACCTAACGGCAGGTCGATAGTCGGCGACTCTTGTTGAACAATCAATTTTTATTGACGAAAGGGTCACGCCCACCGGTCGGCTGATGTGGAAGCGTATATGCTAAAGGTCGGAAATGGTTGTGTGGATTGACCAGCTCGAAATGTCGAATCCCACAGAGAATGTCTGGGACGTTCCGAATCAAAGACAGGTCAGAAGCTCTTATAGATGGTATAAGAGAGGTGCTCATCTCACTCATTGAATATGATAAGAATGGGATTATCACGGAGTGGGAACACAGTCGGCAAAAAACCTCCCTCTTCTTTCTCCTGACCTTATCCCAAAAATAGTGTCGTTGGCACATCACGTGAATATTGTCATAGAATTGGCTCGGTTTTTACTCATCTGCGTTTATATTCCTAAAGAAGAAACAATAAATTACATAAACCAAAATTATAAATTTTTGCAAAAGAGTTTATGTGGAAATTTTTATGTTAAAAAATATTTACTGGAGCGATAAAATTAAAATCTATATTTCCTTTGGTACGTCATCCATCAGTAAATTGTATTTTGCTGGAGGCTTATAGTCCGGTGTAGCTAGCTTTTTTTTCAACAAAAAAAAGTCAATAATAAAAAAAGCTAAACATCATTCGATAAAGACAAAGATGAAGTAAAAAAATTATAATTAGCGTAAGACTTCGTGTAAAGAACACTTGCACTAATGCAAAAGAAGGAGAGGAAACGTCAGGTTGCGTTAACTTTATGGATATTTGATGAAAGGAAAGGGACAACATATGTTTGAATTGAAGTCTGTATATCATACATTGGGTCTGCATAACGCTCTAGACACAATGATATTATTATACAGATGAATTATATAATACGAGGTGGATAGGACACTAGCGAACCGCAACTGTTAAGTGAATACCGTTGCCCATGGACATCTGCTACACCCGAGGGTTACAGATGCGTTGACAACCTTTTGAAGATTAGGCTCCGGCTACGTCACTGACCAGACGAAACGCGAAAGTATTTATTATACTTCCACTTTACGCCGGTTTTCTGTGAAGTCGTGGTACTTAACCGGACGAGCCTGCCCATTCGTGCAACAGTTGTCCTGTTCTTTACTCCTGTATAGACAATTGTATACCATATTTCATATAGAGTCATCATCATGTATGACACAAGGATAAAGTTAAAATATTCTATTTGAGGTGGAAAAAGACAACGATGATAATGTTAGATGGATAATAATTGTTTTAGATAGTTATCGTATTACGATACGCCGGAAGGACACTGAGAAGACGCCGTTTCATGTTTCAGTGACAGCTGTCAAAAACATAACCTAAAAGTGACAGCAGTGACGTTTATTAGATAGCTGAAATGCGATCACGAGACTTTCATAAATAATTAGGAAAGTCTTGCGATCGAGCTGGCATCCCTTTGCGCCAGGTTTCATTTTAATTTGCTCCAATATGGGACACATTATGATCATAATGAAAACACTTTACCCAGCACAATTTTCTGCTAAATAAAATCAGGAATGCATACCAGAAGATGTAGTAACGACTTAGTAAAATTGAACGTTAATAATTTATATCTTGTGTAAGCACTTGACTAAATATTTCAGGTTTATCTATTTGTAAAGCTAAAATTTATATAAGAATTGTGGGTTCATAGACTACAAAAGTGTGTAATATTTGATAATGTCTTGTATTTACGCGATTACACACTATTAAATTAAATTAGATTTACGGTTTTATTGAAAAATAATTATTGAAAAGTATTTTAGCATCGTAAATTATCTTGCATCGATTACATAAGACTTGATTTTATGATAACTAGCTTAGATTTTTTTTTAATTTGTCACTTGTCACGCCCGTAATTAGAGAAATATTGGTAGAGAGACGACTGGTATAAGTATAACTTTTGGGTACGGATCAAAGACTAACAACACCGCCTAAAGATTTTTTTACTTGTGAAATGAATGAATAATAGACCTCAAAGACTTGACGATTTTATTTCGTTTCCCGTCGCGGTCAAAGTTCGAGTTTCCAGAACTAATTTTTAGCCGGCAAAAACGTGCCCGTTACGCGGTATTTTTGAACGCGCAACATTTTACGATTTCGCAGCCCTAGCCGGCAACTCTTGGGCGGAGACACAAATAGAGCATTGGGACGTTATGACCCGTGTGTCGCGCGACGTCGACATCAAAGGTCGAGTGTCAGGTGACATGAAAGTCACGGAGGTTAATACAATTCAGAAAATATAAAATTTGTCTTTCACGTGTTGTAATGTTATATTTATATGGACATTTGAAGGGTTACCTTCTCCTTATGTAAGGAGATGGCAAGCCTGATGTTAAGTGATAACCGCCGCCCAAGGACGTTTGAAACACCCGTAGGGTTACAGATTCGTTGCCATCTTTTAATAAAGTGGGCCCCGGCTATCTCACTGACAGTAGAGACGCACAAAATGTAACACTTCTACTTCACGCGGGTTTTCCGTCTTAGTATGTTTGACGAGTGGAGAGGTAGCTTAAGTATATTTTTTAGTTTATGTGAAGTTCCCCTCTGTACAGAGGAGGCATGCCCAGCAGTGGGATACTTTTTTTTACTACGTGAAGTCTGTCCATCCGCACTGGGGCTGTGTGGTGCTTAAGCTGTAACTTACTTTATTTTAACTTACTAAAAACATATAAATAAATAGTACCTGGAGGACCATTGAGGACATTACTAAGTAATGAAATATGCATAATGTTTCGATCTTACCGACGTAATAATAAGAAAATATGAACTGTTTTTCACAAAAGAAAGAACTTAAAAAAAAAAGGGAAAAAATAACAAAATTACAAATCGACAAAAAATAAAAGATAAAGAAAGCAATGATCTGGAATCGAAAAAAAGTAAAAAAAAAAGTGTGTAAAATGATCGTGATACGAAACACGGACTTCTGTTTCGTGGCTGTTTGTTAGCGGCCGCCCGATTACCGACCGAGATATTATAACATTTTTTTTTTCGGTGAAATTTACCGTCGTATTCGAATAATATATTTCATTCCCTGAAAACTGGGATAAAACGACATTTTCTAAAAATGAAACCTAGTCACATCGAAACAGCCGTTTCCGAGATTCCAATTATATATATATATATATATATATATATATATATATATACAAGAATTGCTCGTTTAAAGGATAAGATAAATATACAAATGTCATAAGTCCTAAAAGGACATAGTCTACATCCGTAGTCCCTCTAGACAAAAGTATAGGTACTCTCAAATATAGCATAACCAATAAGTTCACCTACCTTGTTGTACCTTGTGTACAGGTAACAGTCAACGGCCATCGCGGGTCACGTTCCGAAGTGATATTCTTCCCGTTTAAAACGCAAACGCATCCTAGACAAACGCGTTGGGTCGTATAAAGCTCGTGGGTTCTGGCTAGTTCTGCTCTCGATGAAGCTTTAATATTCTACGGACTGAAACAAAATTAATCAGTTAAAATAAAGTAAAAGCACCGTACAGTTTTGCAACATGGTAGCCTTGAGTACTGCGAATATAAATAAATTAAAAAGTATATTGCACTATTTGTAATTATGATATATTACGTAATAATACCCACAGGCATAGTAATACATATATTTTATATATGACATTATTAATGTAATAGTGCAAAAAGTTAGTAATTAGGAAAGGTAATATACATACAAATTATTAGCAAATTTGAAAATAAGAAAAGTGTATATGATATTAGGTGTAAAATATGAAGAATATACGATATATATGATAAGATAAAAATTGTTAAGTACAAATCTCCATACTATATCGTAGCCAACACTATTTCGTAATGAACGTAATAGTGAAAATGATAAAGAAAAAATATAAATAAGAAATCACAAGACATGATAAGAACATTGTTATGTATATTGTACGGCAACATGTAAGAACATGTTGCATACATGTGAACATTCGTATTTATATTGTTGTAAATAACAAAAATTGTAATCATAAGAAAATAAAAACAAAATGCGTAAAGAACGAAGGAAAAGTTCATTCGAAAGATCGTGGATAAAACAATTCCCAGATCTCCCATTTCAGGGGAATAAGAAAAAGAAGACTCTTCCACACAAAATGCAACACGTGAACACCTTAGAATTTTAGTTAAACAAACGTTTCTTCGAAAAACCCGACCAAATACCAAAAAAGCCGCGGTGGCGTTTTTGTCTGGTCTGTGACGTCAGTCGACCTCAGTCTGTTCTATGTGATCAGGGGCCGTATATTAATAACGTACGGTTTTTTTTTTAGGATTTTTTAACCCGCTCCTCCCCTTTGGTGATACATGATGAGGTTTAAGACTACCCCCCACTCTCCATCCAAAATCAAGGGTATTTATTAGTACCCACGAAAAACGCTTAGAATATTATCTTTAAAGGTTAGAAAGTTACAGGTTTAGAGTATAATCTAATTTTATTCTGAAATTAAGGATACAAATGTAACGGCGAGTCAAGGACAGAGTACATACTGCTTTTCGGCTTGGAAATCGCGCTCGAATCGCGCTGGAAATCGTTTGACGAAAAAATAAATACACGTGATATCCTACTACACCCCCCCTCCCCTCCTCCCTTGTGATAGCTCGTGATTTTTGCCTTTGTACGCCACCCCCTCTATCTAGCCTCAGTGATTAATGGACGTCCCCTCAAGCACAACAGTTGCATATTTCAACAGACCCCAGCGGCGGCGCCATGGGCAGTCCAGGCATGGGCGGCGCGGGCACCCAGCAGTACGGGGAGGTGAACCAGCTCGGTGGCGTGTTCGTGAACGGACGGCCGCTCCCGAACGCCGTCAGGCTGAGGATAGTGGAGCTCGCCCAACTGGGCATCAGGTAAGATCGGGATCTCCTGACCTTACGGTGGTAGGGCTACGCTGTTTTGCTATTGTAGCATGGAACAAATATGCATGCAGACAGACTCTTCAGATCTTAACGATATAATTATAACTGATTACTGTGCCTGATTTATCAAATCCATACATAAAGCGGTGCATTTGTCAGGCCTTGCGACATCAGCCGCCAGCTGCGCGTCTCGCACGGCTGCGTGTCCAAGATCCTCGCCAGGTACCACGAGACCGGGTCGATCCTGCCCGGGGCGATTGGCGGCTCCAAGCCCAGGGTCACCACCCCCAAGGTACGGCTATCTCTTTCTCTTCAATATAAGCTAGGTGAACCGGCAAGCGGCTCTCCTGATGAGATGATTACAACAGCCACAAAATTCACCGTGTTTTAATAATTATAACAAACCAGTGGCTTATTTCTTAACAGTCACTCTAAATTTGGTATACTCGAGAGCAGTCCGTGTTCAAATCTCAAAGCGGGCACTACAGTTGTCAGCTGTAATTTTAAATACTGATATTTATGACTGGTCAGTGAAGAACTAGTTTTTATAATACCGTGTGGGATGCATTCTAAGATTCTCTTGAGTATTTTGTTAAATGTCTCTATCTCTACTATAATATAAGTACTGGACATTATGTAGGATTCCTAGATATTATTTTTACTTATGAGAGTTATATAGGGCATAAGATTCAAAACACTATGCAGGTGATTATGAAATGGATTAATTTTTGTACCCCTTTATGTGAATGTACCGTTTCAATGATATCTTACTTTCTTAAATCACGGGCCGTCATGAAATCTCACAGCCATCTCCGTCGGCTTCGAGTTAAGGTCATTTCGATTCAAACATGGACATTTGTGGTACTTCGTTTACTTAAACATATTTTTCTTTTGTAAATAAACGCACAAACATCCATAGATAAACACTATGTTCGTCACACAATATTTTTCCGAATATTTAGGATCGAAACCACAACCTCAGGCGCAAGAGATAGGTCTACTATCCATTACGCCAATCGGGTCGTTATGATTCCCTACCATCAGTTAAACTAGCTCAAAGCCTGCTCCTCACGTTTTGGGCAGCGGTCAACTTCAACTTGGCAACGTGCAAACGGCCGTCCGTTGCTACATCCAACGTTTTTAATTCATGGATTTTCTTATGTCAGAAAGTGGCCAACGAGCTGGCGGTTCACCTGATATTAAGTGATAACCGCCGCCCATGGACATTTGCAACACCGGTTGCAGACGTGTTGCCACCTTTTAATAAAGTGGGCCCCGTCTACCTCACGCACCGGACGAAACGCAGAAGTGTAACTACTACCTAACGGCGGTCTTCTGTGAGGTCGTTGTACTAACCCGGATGGACTGCCCATTCGTGAAACAGCGAAAACTGTTGCGTGGTCCTACCACCCCATCAAATTAAACCACCTCAAAGCCTGCTCCTCACATTTTGGGCAAAAGTTTATTTAACTTGGAAACGTGCAAACGTCCGTGCGTTGCCGCCTCAACGTTTTCACCCGACTGCGCCAGAAGGAGGGCTATTGATGCATGGATCCTCGGCAGGTCGTGTCCTACATCAAGCAGCTGAAGGCCAAGGACCCTGGGATCTTCGCGTGGGAGATCCGCGACAGGCTGCTAGCGGACGGCGTGTGCGACAAGTACAACGTGCCCTCCGTGTCCAGCATCAGCCGGATCCTGCGCAACAAGCTGGGCGGCGGCGCCCTGTACCCGGTGCCGCCGCTGTACCCCGTCCCGCCCCAGCGCTGCTGGCCTCTGCACCAGCCCTACGACTACTACGTGTACTTACAGGTGCGTACAAAATCAAAACCAAAATCAAATACTTTTATTTAATATTGAAGCATTACATTTTCTCATTGATTGTCAAAACGCTAACCTAACCGGTTCGGAAAGAAAAGCCACCGACCTGAGAAGAACCGGCGAAAGAAACTCAGATTAGTATAGTATAGTACTACAACGATATTATATACGAATGAGAGTGTGATTATATAGAATTAATTGTAACAATTAACGTCTTGGGTACGTAATACCTGTTGGAATTAATTTAGGCACACAAACTTTGCTGGTAAGTATCATCATTATTCTAACTGTGGTAGGACCACGCAACAGTGTCCGCTCTTGCACGAATGGGCAGGTCCGTCTGGGTTACTACCACGAACTCGCAGAAGACCGGCGTAAAGTAGAAGAAGTGTTACACTTCTGCGTTTCGTCTGGTGAGTGAGGTAGCGGGGCCCAACTTATTTAAAGGTGGCAACACATCTGCAACCCTAAAGGTGTTGCAGATGTCCATGGGTGGCGGTTATCACTTAACATCAGGTGAACCGCCGGCTCGTTTGCCATTTTTTCACATAAAAAAACAAAAATAAGCCTGTGTTAGTCCACTGTTGGACGTAGGCTCACAAACTGTATATTAAGCATATGTTTATTTTATTTTTAACTTCTTTCATTCTAAATTCTTACCATCTGTTTCTTACCATTTGTTTGCTGTGATCGCTCTGGCCGGTATAATCTCAAAATTCTAGTCTTAATGCATATCCACTTTTCGAATTTTAAGATTCTGATGTAGGCTTGTTTGCTAGTCTCAAATGTCAGAAATAGGAATTAGACAGAGTGCTATACTTCTAATTATTATCATATTTAGTAATTTCCCATATCACTTTATACAAAACATTTCGCAATTGTTTTATCACAAAATCCTGAAATATTAGATAGCATAACAACGATAACGCTGAACAGTTTCTGTTTTGGAGTTGATTTATAAATAGTAAGTAGTAGTAACGGATGATGAGTAATACGGAGATTACTCAATCTCAGAGTCTCCGTCATCTCCGAATTAGTCATCAGCATCACATATCAAAAAGCTAGGTAACGAATTTTATTATTTCGTAATATCATTGATGTATATCGTATTCGTAATATCATTTTATCAACAAATCACCCAGAAAGTGATATTTTGAGAAATTTCAAATTTTTGTAGTGCTTATCTCTGCATTTTAAGACTAAACATTAAAGTTTGTAGAAAAAAAAAGGAATTTAAAATTTCTAAAAGCAATGATATCTCTCGTTCGAATTATCGTTGCAAAACGACATTCGAAATTGTTTGTATGCTGGAAAGGATATAACAATGGATGCGCCAAGCATTGCTTTAAATGCTAAAATAAATAAATAAACAATGTAGATGTGGCAATCAGCCGTTTAGCTTAGTGGCTAGAGCGTCAGGGCGCGAATCCCGAAGAAATGGGTTCGAGCCGCTGTGGGAATCCCGAAGAAATGGGTCGAACCCATTTCTTCGGGATTCCCACAGCGGCGAAAACAAATTTTAACAGAAAGAGTTATCACAAAACTAGTCCCAAGAATGTCTCAGACATGATGACTCCGAGGCGCAGTTACCAAGGCTTTTGCGTCGGGAGTCGTGGGTTCGATTCCCACACGGGACAACTATCTGTGTGAGCCAAAGACGTTTCGCATCTGGGTGTTTGTCCACGTGCAATTTATATTTGTAAAATGTCCTTAAAACGCAGGATAATGTTATTAAAGAAAAAAAGATATCGTTTGCACGTGACCTAAATAATATATGAGCCATGGTAACATTATTTAAATTAAAAAACAACCCGGCTCTGTCCGCAGGGGCGACAACACGCCGCCGGGCCGCCGCACTCCCTCCCCCACCACCCCCACCAGCCGGCGCCCACGCACGCCCACGCCCACGCCCACGCGCACGCCCTCTGACATACGCATACGGCGTGCTGCCACAACAGCTGATCGAGCTGTTGACGTCGGAGCAGCTGGTGCAAGCAATGACGTCACAGCGTGCGACGCTTAAAACGGAACTGATTGGGGAACAGAGGAGGGTCGGTTGTGTTGGCTCGTTGCTTAAGCCAACGTGTATGATGCACGTTTCTGATACCTGGTCAAGTAATCACGCTACGGAAATCACCTGCAGCGAACCTTCACCAATGAGCTGCTAATTAAATGCAATTAGTATAAGTTTACAGTAGACGTTGTCTTAACGACGGATACGCGACGAAGACTTTGAAACAAATTCGTGTATTGCATCTAAGACGAGAATTGGCCGAGAAATGTATCTATTGTAAAATTGCAAGAAACACTGAGAAGCGTCTAAGAAAGTGCATTCAATTTATGGGTACACACAATTCCTACGCAATTATAGGTATATTGATTGGCTGCTATATCGCCGATAAGAAAAAAGCTTAGAAGATAAGACGAAAATATGCCTTATTCCGAAAATTTCTCATCCCATGGAATCGAATAATTTTCAATTCTATTGACAAGAAAACTAAAAATGGATTATTAAAATACGAATTGCGGGAACATATATTTATAAGATGGCGCCAAAATATTTTATAATGTATAAAATCAATTTTCACAAAATAATTTTTTTCTTGTAATATAAAGCATTTGATGTTAAAAATGGCATAAATCTTTTGGGAAGTTTGCAATTACAGAAATGTTTGTTTTGCAGTTTTCGGAGGGTTATTATTAGACCAATATCCCTTTTTGAACCAGTGTTTAATTTATTGCTCGTATGTTAAGTTTCTTTGAAAGTGAATTGTGAAAAAAAAAAAGAACATTTATGTGCAAATACACAAAAGACGATGAAAGTGTTTACTCGATGGAGAAAAGTATTAATATTATGTAAATAGATTTACTACCACATGTAAGATATTAGCGAAATGGTTAGATATTAATTACCTTAAGCATATCGCGTGCTGTGATCACGAAATCTTATCATATTTTTAGCAGTAATCACGATTATACAACAGTTAATTAGTTAGCAGACAGTTTTCGAATCTTTTCTTTAAAATATTTTCTTTTTATGAGTGTAAAACGGAATTACGAAAAAGTATATCGAAGATGGATTTGCTAATAATAGACAGCTCTGTTGGATGAGAGTTTACGTGGCAAGTATAGTAAATTCGAAGACATATTTAGATCAACTACTTAAATTAGATCTTAAAAATAATTTTGTCATTATTCCAACCTAAAATCCATAAATATTATGTATTTATTTTAAATTTGGGCGTTTAATTTCAGTACACTTTGTATTTCTACAGGAATACCAATTTCTCTCGTTTAAACTGGCCACAGAGTAAATATAACTTAACATTTGTAAGAGTTTCGAGGCAATCTGCTGCTTACTACATACATGTGGATACAAATTAATATATAAAAATCGTCCATAAATAATAAAGAATAGCTTGTTGTAAATAATAATAAATATATAATTTTGTTTCATATCAATATAAAAAATTAAAAAGACATTTTGTGATCACGGCTTTACCTTATTTTAGTTGGGTGCAATGATGTAAATAAATAACTAGGTTATAAACAATTTAGTTTAAGATAAATGGCGATTATGGGTACTTACTATGCTAAATATATGTTGTACTTATTACTTACTTGGCCATATACAGCGTGTCGTTACCACCGCGACAATAAATGAACACACATTTAGAGGAAAACTTTTTAAAATTGTATTAAACATTTACATTCTTTAAACATCAATATTTACCGAGTTATAAAATTTTCCAAAGCAAACAATTTTAGAACACCGTTACGTATAAAACTATAACGTAAAGTTCATTTGTAAAGGTCACAAAGCATATGAACGGGTTGAATGAATTTAAAAGAGACAAAACATACTGTTAGAAGGAGAGGCTTGTATTACGACGCTATGGCGCGAGTTGTTGTGTTACAAATTTTGTTTCTTTTTTACTTAATTAGTTTGTTTGAAAAATATTTTTTTTTAATTATGGATTTTGTTTAACGTTAATATTTTTTTATGATTATTGGCAAGTAGCGTTAGACATGTGTTCATTTATTGTCGCGAAGGTAACGACACGCTGTATAAAATCGTGTGTAAGAACTACGTGTCTTAATTTTAAATAAAGAATATGATAACTATTTATCTAATATATTTTTATCCAGTCGTTTTCTAGTATTGATGAGAGCAGTTTTCATTTATTTTCCCCTTAAAATTTTTACAAAGATTGCAATTTTAAATCATATATCAATACCTTAATTAGGCCAATCGTGTTTGTTAATTACGGCTTTGTCATTTCATTTAGATCGATGTTACACCTAAACAACTGAATTAATTGAATAAAATAAACAGTTTCTCTATTTATTGGTTGATTGTTTTATTTGCTTTCGCATAATTTTCTGGAATATTCTTACGTGAGGATATCTTATCGTGAAAGGGAAACGCAGCATTGATAGGATACATAAACTTTATTTATTTATTCATTTAAAAATTAAATTATGTATAAAAATAAATGTAGCAACAGGAAAAAAATTGTACAATGGCGCTGCTTTTCTTCCTAAAGAATAAATGGTTAAAGGAAATTGGTCACAAATGGGTAGTCAATGGTAAACATATAATAATTATAAGACATGTATTATAAAATAACTATAAATATGATATCAGTACATAAGAGGTAAACATATATGGCAGCACCACGACCTCTTAGAAGACAGGCGTCAAATGGAAGTATTAAACTCGCGTTTCGTCTGTTGAGTGAGGTATCCATGGGCCACTCCTTTAAACTCAACGCAAGCCATCGAATGTTGAAGACGTATACGTTATTCATTTAACCTCAGGTGGACTGCCTGCCCGCTTGACAACTTTTTATTTAAAACTAGCTACCCGCCTCGGTTTCGCGCGGCTGCATTGTATTATACATATAAACCTTCCTCTTGAATCACTCTCTATCTAGTTAAAAAAAATCGCATCAAGATCCGTTGCTTAGTTTTAAAGATCTAAGCATACGGACGGACACACAGCGGGACGACTTTGTTTTATACTATGTGTTTAAAATATAAACACCAGCTTCTGTTGGAAGAGTTCTAATTATCACGGCCTCACATAAAGTATTTTTCCCTTGGTCCCGGCGCGCGAGACTTGATATTTTTATGGGTTGGTAGCACTACTGTTAATCTCCAAATTTGACCGGCAAAATATCTATATATATATATATATATATATATATATATATATATAAAATTTCTTTATCTTTATATATATAATTCTTCTGTATGTGTGTGTCACTGAACTTCTCTTAAGCGGCTGGATCGATTTTGATGAAATTTTTAGGGTCTTCAGCTTGATTCGAGAATGGTTAGATTTACGATTCGGTCCACCATTTTTTTTTCTAAATACGAATTTAAGTCGTGTGTACGGGACAACGTCTGTCCGATCAGCTAGTTCAATATAAGTTTATTTTAAGCTCTTATTTTACTCGAAATTAAATTTTATTATTTGACAATTTATCTAATATTTACAAGATTAAATTATCTAAAATTAAACATTATCTAATAAACCTAATCCACGCGGCATAGTGCCAAGAACGCTAGCTGCATTTCCTCGCTCAATAGTTATGCTTCACGAGAGCGAGAAAAGAACCAGATGCCGCCCCGGCTTTATTGAATTAAAATTTTATAGTGCTAATCTCTGCACTTAAGATTTATCATTGCGAATTTCTTTTTCGACATTCGTCGAAAAAAGTATGAAAAGTTTGGCTGTGGGATGCCGAAGCCTTTTATTCGATTCCCATAGCGGCGAAAAACTTTTCGTACTTCTCGCTACTGATTTTAACTGTTACCGAATGTCAAAAAACTACCACCGGTTCACTAGAGACCTGTTCAGAGAAGAACCGACAAGAAACTCTGCAATATTTTTATCTTATTTTTTTAGATTATATAAATTTACAAAAATGTTTAAGTATAAAATCAGTAGCAGACTTGCATGACTTGCAGGGCAAGAGTCATTTCCACAAATTCTTGTCCTCAATGTATTATTAATAATAGGCCCTTTCCATTAGGGTAGCTTTTATAGAATGTTTAAAATTATTTACACTTAGTTGTTTGTGGATTTCACCTATTTTAGTATATAAGTTATTGCCCAGTGTTCATCTCTTATCCTTTTTGATTTATTGATAAAAATATAATTTATTTCCCCTAATATGCCTATTACCATCAGATTTTCGATATGCCTAATTATAATGAAAAAAAAAAAATATGTAATAATTGCTTTTTTTGATTAGACCACATTCTCGTCACTGTTTTATTATTGAGCGTTATTCATCAAATATTATTGAGAAAATTGTGGGAATCAGCGCAACTAGGACATTTTTTTCTAATACTTCAAATAGTGTTTATAACATGTTACTGCACGGGATTATCTTGCCCTACAACTAGTAATGTTAAAAGAGATTTCGGTTTAATGTGGAAATGTTAATCTATATATACAAAAATGAATTGCTGTTCGTTAGTCTCGCTAAAACTCGAGAACGGTTGGACCGATTTGACTAATTTTGGTTTCTAAAATATTTGTGGCAGTCCAGGGAAGGTTTAAACGATGAGAAATTATGGAAAAGTTGCACGGAAAATCGAAATAGCAGCAATTTTATTATGCTTGCGTTCCGAAAATTCTTTTTCTATGTGTTCAGATTCACAAATTCCCTAGAAATATTTTATATGGCAAAAAATCGTTTGCCGGGTCTACTAGTATTAAATAAATTAAAATGTTAATATCAAATAAATTAATTTGCGGGGCGAATTTTTTTAAAGGTCGCCCTCGTGTGTTTTAGATGTCTATGAGTGGCGGTGATCATTAAAACATCGGGTGAAGATGCTCACTTGACAAATTTTAAATGAATTAAAAAAACGTGGGTGGCATAAAATGTAACCAAACACATTGACGTCTT